ACCAATGTCCTGATCACCGCCACACCCCATACCAGCATGTCCTGATCACAGCCACACCCCATACCAGCATCCTGATCACAGCCACACCCCATACCAGCATCCTGATCACAGCCACACCCCATACCAGCATCCTGATCACAGCCACACCCCATACCAGCCACAGCCACCCCCCATACATCCTGATCACAGCCACATACCAGCATCCTGATCACAGCCACACCCCCCCATACCAGCATCCTGATCACAGCCACACCCCATACCAGCATCCTGATCACAGCCACACCCCATACCACACATCCATCCTGATCACAGCCACACCAGCCCTGATACCAGCCACACCCCATACCATACATCCTGATCACAGCCACACCCCATACCAGCATCCTGATCCAGCATACCAGCATCCTGATCACAGCCACACCCCATACCCTGATCCTACCAGCATCCTGATCACACCCCCATACCAGCATCCTGATCACAGCCACACCCCATACCAGCATCCTGATCACAGCCACACCCCCACCAGCACAGCCCCCATCACCAGCCACACAGCCCCCATACCAGCATCCTGATCACAGCCACACCCCATACCAGCATCCTGATCACAGCCACACCCCATACCAGCCACACCCCATCCACATCCTGATCACAGCCACACCCCATACCAGCATCCCAGCCATACCACCAGCCCTGACACCACACCCCATACCAGCATCCTGATCACAGCCACACCCCATACCAGCATCCTGATCACACCACACCCACACCATCCACAGCCACCAGCATCCTGATCACAGCCACCACCACCATATACCACAGCATCCTGATCACAGCCACACCCCATACCAGCATCCTGATCACCCACACCCCATACCAGCATCCTGATCACAGCCACACCCCATACCAGCATCCTGACCCCAGCCACATCACAGCCACACCCCATACCAGCATCCTGATCACAGCCACACCCCATACCAGCATCCTGATCACAGCCACACCCCATACCAGCATCCTGATCACAGCCACACCCCATACCAGCATCCCATGATCACACAGCCACCCCCATACCAGCATCCTGATCACAGCCACACCCCATACCAGCCCCTGATCACAGCCACCATACCAGCATCCTGATCACAGCCACACCCCATACCAGCATCCTGATCACATCACACACCCACACCCCATACCAGCATCCTGATCACAGCCACACCCCCCATACCAGCATCCTGATCACAGCCATCCTGATCACACCCCCATACCAGCATCCTGATCACAGCCACACCCCCCCATACCAGCATCCTGATCACAGCCACCCCCATACCAGCATCCTGATCACAGCCACACCCCATACCAGCATCCTGATCACAGCCACACCCCATACCAGCATCCTGATCACAGCCACACCCCATACCACATAACATACCATCAGGCTACACAGCCATACCACCGCATCCTGATCACAGCCATATGCCATATATATTCAAATATATATCCATAGTTTATAGACTCTATATATATCCCATAGTTTATAGACTATAGCTTTCACACAGACTAAATAATATAAAAACTGTTTTGGGTTATTTTTATCCCAAAAATGTAGCAGAATACATTTTGGCCTAAATTTATGAAGAAAAATGATCTATTTTGCAAAATTATATAACAAAAAAAACTAAGCAAAAAAAAAATTTTTTTTTTTTCAAAATTGTCAGTATTTTTTTTTTTATATAGCAAAAAATAAAAAAAAAACCCCGTGGTGATCAAATACCACCAAAAGAAAAGTTCTATCTGTCACAATAAAAAGATAAAAATGTAATATGGGTATAGTGTTGCATGACTGAGTAATTGTCACTCAAAGTGTGATAGTGCTGAAAGCTGAAAATTGTCCTAGACTGGAAGGGGGTGCAAGTGTCTGGACCTGAAGTGGACCAGGTATTGTTAAAGACGCCAGTGGCCACCAGCTCCATAAATCTGCATCTGAACCATATTTGAAAACCGCAGCTGAACCGCTGAATAGCTGCATTGGAAATTGGCAGTGAAAATGACCAGGAAATTCACACCAGACATGTGTGAACCTAGCCGTAGGAAAATTATGCTGCCGCAAAGCCCCTGTGAGGGTGGCATTAGGCGACCGCCTAATCAGCCGCTTCTTGAGTTTTGGGAATCCCTGCCCTTTCACAATTTCAAATGTGCATTGAGCATGAGAAAGGGGGGGAATGCCAGAAACGGTCCTTCCTGGCTTCTAATATACATACATCCATACGATATAGGGAATAACTTTTTAGAGAAAGAGCATAGAGAGGGTGTGAACCTAGCCTTGTATAGATGGAGAAAGGGGGAGGTGTTCTGTAGTCCTAAAAACCCACAATGTGCCGCGCTTCACTTCAAAAAATAATATGTGTATCCAATCACTAATATTTCTAATGCATATCCAAATATATATAATAATATAAATATATATAATTGTGTGCCAGTTACTATTAGTTATATATATAAAAAAAAATGAAAAAGTGAATAAACCAATGATGATTGTCAACAACAGTGTCCATATGATTGTTATAAGCAGTCAAAAGAAAAATCCATATATGAGTTCCTTCAAACGTGCAAACTTTGCTTTACCGTATAATATCCCGTGCTTCTTAAAAAGTATTTGGTGCGAATAACTTGCATAAACGTGCTCCATCCAGCGTCATGACGTCAAAGCCCCTCACGATGCTCGATGGTACCATACTGACACCAGCTGGCAATTTTAGGATTTTCACCTGGGAAAAAGTTCTGGAGGACACATTTTGTGCACAAAGCAGTTTTAACATAGAGTAAATGTGAGTGCATTACTTTTATTAATAAAAATGATTTTTAAAGGGTAATACACTATGATTTGATGTATTCCTCTATAATAACCACCGTGGAAGGGGAGTTTATCGTCTGAGTGGAGAAGGACCCCAAACAGCAGGATACCGTCCCATCCACACTTTGGTCCATTTAAAGGGACACAAGCGCTATATGACCTTACTTAACGGTTTGTTCATATATTGGAGGTGAGAGCACAACCGGGGGGGGGGGGGGGGGGGGGGGGGGGGGCACGGTTATGCAAGTTATTCGCACCAAATACTTTTTAAGAAGCACGGGATATTATACGGTAAAGCAAAGTTTGCACGTTTGAAGGAACTCATATATGGATTTTTCTTTTGACTGCTTATAACAATCATATGGACACTGTTGTTGACAATCATCATTGGTTTTCACACTTTTTCATTTATTTTGATATATAACTAATAGTAACTGGATGCACAATTACATATATTTATATTCATTTATATATTTGGATATATGCATTAGAAATATTAGTGATTGGATACACATATTATTGTTGAAGTGAAGCGCGGCACATTGTGGGTTTTTTGTTTTTTTACACACTAGTATGAGCATGTGTTAGGTGCAGGCGATTCACAATCAGCACTTGGTAAGATTTATTACTCACATAGCAGCTCACAAGCCGACACGTGTTTGTTCTGTAGCCCTGACACACTTCTTGTCCTAGGGCAGTGTTTCTCAACTCCAGTCCTACAGGATTTCCATTTTTTGCACAGGTGATTTGTCAGTTTCACTGCCTGTAATTACCACAGCTGTTTCATCTGAGGGAAATCCTGAAAACATGACCTGTTGGGGGGTGAGTTGAGAAACACTGTCCTAGGGTGACAATGCTGCTCTCCATAGTGTGACAGTGCGGTGATCTGTCATGTTGGTAAAAGGATATTATGCTACCCAGGATCCTCAACAAGGCAGGTTAAGGGGCTCCAGGGAGTTTGTGTAATGCAGAGGAAACTGGCTTTTCAGTTTCTTCATTGTTTCATAAAGGTCCATTTTGGGACCTGGAGCCTGGAAATTTCAAAGTGATCTTGGTGGGAAGAAATCTGCAATCCTGGGACTAGATTTTAGGAATAGCCAGAACACTGATTATGCAGGTGGGTTCTGGGCTTTTTGTAGAGACAGGACCAGGGTTCTGGGCTCTATCCTCCCGAGGAATCCAGGTATGTGCAAGGGAGAATCCAGAGGAGTGCATATGTGCATTGGAAAGGACAGAGTCCAGAGCCTGAGGATCAGGGCAGCAAGGGGCTGCCAGCTGTGTGGACAGTGTTGGCGAGGAAGTGGTCTATGGGGGACTGACGAGGGTCTATAGTGGAAGGCCTGAGCAGAACTGCTGTACATAAGCCAGGAGGCTGAAGAACTATTTTGTTACAAGTGCAAAGCCAGGAGGCTGGATTGGTTGTTTTCTGTTGATGTGGCAAACATACATTGTATGGACTTTTTTTTTTCTTTAATAAAAGTGGGCCAAGAAACTCTAAAACAACAATTTCTGGTGTGGATTCTACTTGCTGGTGAGCGCTACCCTGAGCTAAACAACCCCCAAACATTACAAAAAATAAAACAATGGCAGCCACCAAATCTAAAGAGGCCCGCTTTAGGAAAAATATATTGTATTTTGGAAAATGTAAGGTCAGTGACTGTAGAGATAGTATTCTCGGTACACAATAACTGACTAAAAAGTGTTTCCAGTGTTGGGCCTTAAAAAATTAACTCCTGAAGGAATTAAAAACATAAATACAGATCCATCCTTGCATGTCTAAATGCCTGTATTCACTTCTCCAATGAAACAGTATTGAAATGTGAAGTAAATCTCTTTTTGGTTCCTTAATTTCCAGCTTCTCTCTGCATACGGAGTCCCCTCTTTAATCGCATACATTGCACAGAAATGACAAATTCCAGTAGGTGGCAGAGAAAGGTCTCCCGCCTAAGTAACTGATCACAGTTTAAAGTGGACCCAAATAACAAGCAGACAATCAGCACATTAAACAGATAGAGCAAGAACACGATGAAGTCAAACTACCGTATTTTCCGCGTATAAGACGACCCCCCTACTTTCCTGTTAAAATGTAGTGTTTGGGGGATATAAAATCGCCATATAAGACTACCCCTCTTAACACCAGAAGGAAAAATAGTGTCCCATCATTAGTATCAGTGGGAGGAATAGTGTCCCATTTTGGTGTCAGTGGAATTAGTGTATGGGGAATAATGTGACCCATCATTGGTGTCAGTGGGAAGAATGGAATGATTCTATCTTCATCATCGTGCCCCATTCTGGGTGTCGAGATGGGAGGAATAATGCCCCATCATTGGTGTCAGTGGGAGGAAATAGCACCCCATCATTAGTATCCAGTGGCAGGAATAGTGCCCCATCATTGGTGTCAGTGGAGGAATATTGGTCCCATCATTGGTATCAGTGGGAGGAATAGTGCCCCATCATTGGTGTCAGTGGGAGAATTCTGCACCCATCATTGGTATCAGTGGGAGGAATAGTGTCCCATCATTGGTGTCAGTGGGAGGAATAGTGCCCCATCATTGGTATCAGTGGGAGGAATAGTGCCCCCATCATTGGTATCAGTGGAGGAATAGTGCCCCATCATTAGGTATCATTGGGGGGAAATAGTACCCCCATCATTGGTGTCAGTGGAATAGTGCCCCATCTTGGTAACAGTGGGAGGAATAGTGCCCATCATTGGTATCATGGCTTTAGGAATAGTGCCCCAATCAAATTGGTATCAGTGGGAGGAATAGTACCCCATCATTGGTGTCAGTGGAGGAATAGTGCCCCAACAAATCTTTGGTGTCCATGGGAGGAATAGTATCCCATCATTGGTGTCAGTGGGGGGGGGGGGGAAATAGTGCCCCATCGATGGAACGTGGGGGGGGTTAGTGCCCATCATTGGTGTCAGTGGGGGGTGGAAAAAGTGCCCCATCATTGGTGTCACTGGGGGGTGGAATAGTGTAAGCCCAAACATCATTGTGTCACCCATCAACTGGTAGTGTTTCCAATCGTTGGTGTCAGTGGGGGGTGGAGGAAAAAAATGGTGCCCATCGTGATCAGTGGGGGGGGGAAAAGTGCCCCATCGTTGGTGTCAGTGGGAGGAATAATGCCCCCCATCATTGGTATCATCAGTGACACCAACGATGGGGCACTATTCCTCCCACTGACACTTGCTGACCCCTGTTCCAGTACGGTGCTGCTGCAGCCAGCATATGTGGTTGCAGCAGCACCTAAGCACGGCACACTTACCTGCATCTCCACTCGATTTTCGCGGGGGCCGCTCAGCTCCACCTGCCTCCTCGCCGGTGATTGGCCGCCTGTGTGCCTTTCCTGAGCTACAGTTCTGGCGGCCAATCACCGGTGAGGAGGCGGAGCTCATAGCAGCCGCGAACATCCAGTGGACGAACCGAAGGAAGGAGCAGCCGCGCTTCCTGGACCGGATCGTCGTGGGACCGGAGCCAGGTAAGAGACAGCAGCCCCTGCCCACCCCTGTACTTAGTTTCCCTTCTGTTGGAAGGGGGGGGGGGGCGGCGGCACCGCGCCACCCCCCCTAAAAAGTGTCAGCATGCCGTTACCGGTGTATAAGACGACCCCCGACTTTTGAGAAGATTTTCAAGGGGTAAAAAGTCGTCTTATACGCCGGAAAAACGTACGGTACTAAGATTTTAACACTTTTTAGTGTATCAGCTGCTGTCGCCTTAGCGCTCACTGAACCACATACAACTAAAATTATGGAAACACTAGGTAAAAGAACAAAATCATTAGCTCCTATAGTGTTGGGACTGCCTTTTAGCATCCAAGACGGTCTGAATTCTCCTGGGAATTGACAAATATAAGTCTTGGGTGGTGGATAATGGAATCTGATACTACTCTTCATACACAAATCGTTCCAGCTCTCGCAGAGATGCCAGAGGCGGAAAACGAGCCCAAATCTCGTTGACCATAATGGCTCTATGATATGGAGGTCCGGCGACTGTGGCGCCCAGGGAAGGTGTGAGACTTTGTCTGCATCCTCGCCAAACCGTGATTTGACAACGCCAGCTGTGTGAATTCGGAGCATTGTCAGCTTGGTAAATGGCGCGGGTCTTCGGGAAACAATGTGTCTGGACACCATGGGGTGCACATAGTCTGCCAAAATTTGTACATAGTCACTGGCAGTGACTCTATCTTTCAAGGTGACAATGGGACCTGCAGAATACCAAGATATGGCTGCCCAGACATCGTTTTCCCAGAAACTGTATATGCCGCCATAACCTTTGATATTGTACCTCGTGACACGGCAAATAAATTGGCAACTTCAGTCACAGAGGCACCAGCTAAGTGGCACCAACAATTTGCCCTCTTTGAAGCTCAGTAAGCTCTGACATGACTCCATATTACTAGCTGCGCACGCAGTAAATGATGGAAGTGAGGCTTTCCACCTGTTAGCTAGGTGTCTCATCACATAGCGGAAGCAAAAGAATGTTACGTCACTTCCTACTTTCAACGCAAACCATGTCGTTTACTTTCACACCTGCAAATCATGTAGTGTTTCCATTTTTTTGTCCAACTCCCTGTACTCTGTACTTCTTTCTTTCTTTAGGAGAACACACCCATGCTTCTGCCTTCCTCGCTTAGGTAAGAATGACATCCTCCCCACCACACCTGAAGCCCCCTAGGATACCAACATCATGTATCCAGGTGGCTTTGGGGCTATGTACAATACGCTGTGCATGCGCAGTGGAGTGTCATCGGGAGCTGCTTGCTAGGACCTGGAAGAGAAAGCTGGCTCCAATGATGGCGGCACAAGGCCCTGTGGGTTCCGCTGTCAGCAGATTACTGCAGGGCAATGCTGCAGTTGATGGCTGGGTATGTTATTTAAGTTCACCCCAGCACACAAGGGAGGAGGGGGTTTAGAGTAAAATTAAACCTGGGGGGGTAAGTTCCACTTTAACCTGTTGTCACCCAAATAACACATATTTGCAGCCACAAGGGCAGGCTTTAACACCCACACATGTGTGTTGTTGGGCAGCCAATGTTTCTGTGCTGAGAACAAGCTCACTGCAAGCTCCCAGCACAGACACTGGGCTGTCACAGACAGCTCTCGGCCCTCACTAATAATCCATAGCCGGTGGAACGACTCCTGATCATGTGACCACTATGACAGCCAAACACAGTAGTCACATGATCGAAAATCTTCCCGCCCCCCAGGCACTCAGAACTTTGTACAAGGACACCGGAGTAGGCGGAAAAGGGTTAAAGGGACTTCAGATGAGACATTTTTGTGGTCATTTAGCTCGTGAGATAAACAATATAAAGCCAAAGACACAACAAACTGACCTTTTCTGCTAGCCAGCCCATGTGCCCAATTTCATGACTTCCAGAGATTCCGTTTTTTCCCAGCTGAGTTTGGACTTCGGCCATCACCTTGGGAAGAAGTTCCGTCACCGCCCCGTGAATTGCGTTGAACCAGGTCTGGGCCGCCGCAGGATCTTTTGCTCGCAGCACCGCAGTATGCTTGGCATCAGGTGAATGCAGTTCTAGATGTCTGCAATACAGAACACATGCGTTTACAGCGGGAAATCCCAGGATCTTCTTAGAATCCCCTGTTCATAGCTCTGGATTTTTAGGATATTTTGCCACACACAGTTGAATAAAAACTGTACATCTTTGGACTAATCTCCAGACAGATATAACAGACACAAATGAATGCAACTCTGTATTCATTAACCCCTTCTTCCCAGCCTTTTAAGAGATCGCAACACCGGAGCATCGTTACCTGCTTGCTCAGCTTCCGCACCATGTGATCACTGTGATTGGATGATTAGATAATTGGAAGCCCATCCTACCAGCTTCCAATTGTCAGTGACGGTGCTGTCAGAGTGCTGGGGGCATGCTGCCAACACAAAACAGGTATGTGTATACGTGGAGGCACAGAATACGGCCAATCTCTGTGACCAGAGACTGTGGACAGTACAGGAGATGACCAGAGACTGCGGACATAGTATAGGAGATGACCAGAGACTGCGGACACAGTACAGGAGATGACCAGAGACTGCGGACATAGTACAGGGGATGACCAGAGACTGTGGACATAGGACAGGAGATGACCAGAGACTGCGGACACGGTACAGGGGATGACCAGAGACTGTGGACATAGGACAGGAGATGACCAGAGACTGCGGACACGGTACAGGGGATGACCAGAGACTGCGGACACAGTACAGGGGATGACCAGAGACTGCGGACACGGTACAGGGGATGACCAGAGACTGCGGACACGGTACAGGGGATCACCAGAGACTGCGGACTAGAGATGAGCGAATTATTCAAAAATAATTCGGTTCGGCTGATTCGCCGAATTCGCCGAATAAATTTGCTTCGAGTCGAATATATTCGCTGCGAATTTAACTTATAAAAAGGGACACGTTTCTAGGCTTCAGAGAGCCTTTATATTAGTGCAGAACACTGTACCTTTAATTTAAAGATGCCCTTGGAGTACTGGGGAAGAGAAATAATACGGTCAGTCAGTATGACATGCAGATGAGTGCCGTCGATCTTAGAATCACCGCACACTTCACTCATTTTGGGCAGTCACGGGGCCAAACCAGAGTGTGGAGCATAGTACAGGGGTGGCGGTGGAGGGCATAGTAATGGGAGGCCATACAGCGGACCTATGACAAAATGGAACCCACAGCATAGTGTGATGGCACCAGAGACTGCTGAAAGTGGCACATGGCAGAGTGTGGCGATGGGAGACAGCAGCAATGGGAGGCCGTACAGGAGATACAGGGACCCATGACACAGTACTGGACCTGGCAGCAGCATGAGTACAGAGGCGGTACGGGGCACATGACAGGAGATTTTCCACGGGCTGGCGGAGCAGCATGAGGAGTCGGTACGGGGGCCCATGGCAGATTACGGGGCCTGGCAGCAGCATGAGGAGGCACTAGGTACAGGGGCCCATGGCAGATGGCGGAGCGTAAGCAGCTAAAATTGAAGGCCATACAGAGGGCCTATGTTAATGAAAGTCCCCCCCAGCAGCAGGAGCGTGGGGAGACGAACTATCAAGAGTCCAATGGCAGAGTGGCGGAGCAGAAGCAGCTTCAATTGAAGGCCATACACAGGCCCTATGAGGTTTTTAAAAGTCCCTCACAGTTAATTCCAATAACAAAACTCTACTCCTCCGTGCAATCTACTTACGAGACCCTGGGCAGGTCTGGGTCCAATTTGTGGTAGAGACTGGTTTTGTTCAGCCATGCTTGAGCGAGTAATAACAGGTCTGTGCTGCCCTTTGGTGTCTGGCTTTAATGCGCACAACCACTGAACGTCCCAGCGTTTGTCAACGATTTGCCGTTAAGTGATGCAAACCCCGCTGAACCACGTTCATGAGGAGCCGGTACAGGGGGCCATGAATCAGTATGGACCCTGGCAGCAGTGTGAGGAGACCCAAAAGTGGCACATGGCGCAGGGTGTGCGGTGTAGGCAAGCAGTATTCGGAAGCCATACACAGGCCTCGGTTAAAAAAGCGGAAGCCGTCAGCAGCGTGAGCAGACGACAGAGGCACATGGCGCAGGGTGGAGCGAGGAATAGGTAAGGACCTACAGGAGAGAAGAGCTAAGCGGCCGGCCCGGTATTCTGAC